CACCAGAATTTAGTTCAAAAAACAGCTCATTCTGGCTGCTGGTGGGTCATTGAAATTCATACATCTATATGTAAACTTGTATATAGGTGCATTTTAAAAGGCCTGGGAGTGTGCACTCTAAATTCTTGCTGGTGTGCCATGGCAGATGCCTATAATCCCAGCAACTGTGGAGGCTGAGGCAAGAGGACTGCAAGTTGGAGGCCAACCTGGGCAATTTAGCAAGAACCTGTCTCAAAATAAAACAGAAAGGCTGGGATCAGCTCAGCAGTAAAGTACTTGCCTAGCGTGAGCAAGATGCTGGGTTTTCGATCCAGTGCTCCCCCACAACACAAAACACAATCTTCACAAGGGCAAAAGGAGTAGAACCCAGAGGGCTGTACAGAGGGAGGGAGAACAAAAGGGCACTGCCCGTACATCCACACTGAGTTCTTTTTTTTTGTAAAAGACTAGATCCATGTTTTGGGATAGGGGTATAACTCAGTGGTACAGCCTGGTCTGTAGGAGGTCCTGGGTTCTGTCCCCAGAACCACAAAACAAGACTTGTATGTTCCTGAGTAATCAACAGTCAACATGCCAAGGAAGCTGTTTGGGGAGAGCCTCTCAGTGGGAGATCAGGTCTCTTTCATGGTGTTCTCTCCTATAAGAAATTCCCTGCCCCTCCTTCACCTGGCACGTCCCTTCTCATTCTTCAAGATGGCGGCTCCAAGCTCACAGCCTCTCCTGGGGAGTGCCAGCCCTGGCCTGCCTATACTCCTACACTCCCTTCACATGCCCACTACTGGGCTCTTAGATGTACCTCCTAATAACCCTTAGGTCACTAGTTCAAGCACCTGGTTCAAGGGCAAGCCCATGCCAAGTGTTTGATAATTATCCACAATATTAACAGTTAAACCTTGGCCTCTGTCGCTGGGCCTCCCACATCTCTTGTTCTGCAGTATGCCTGCTCCAGCACCTGACATGCAGTACCCACTCAGCTTCTGATCAGACCCCTTGTGCCCTGTCCATACTCTGGCCACTGAGTCACCATGGGACTCTTCCACCCAATTCCCCCAGATGGAGGCAAAGGATCACTGGGTATGGTCTAGTTTTGCATTTCCCAGTTTCTGTGAAAGTGAAAATAGGTAAGCGGTGATAAAAAGTCTTCGAAGCTAGATTACAGGTGGCAAAAGTTGCCTTATCTCCTGTCCCAATGAGGTGTTGCCATGCCCTTGGGCGGTTAAACACTCTGGAAAGTTCTATGGTGAAGCATGAAGCAGCCTACTTAATCCACCGTTCCCCAACCTGTGTCGGCTGAAGAATGCTTTCCTTGTGGCAATACCTACTAAATCTCCCAGAATAACAAAAGCATCAACTTTTCTGAGTACCTACTGTGTGCCACATACTACACTGAGCACTTCTCGTTACCTTCACTTTATAGAGGAAGAAACAGACTCAGGAAATTTCAATAACTTGCCTGAGAGGTGTTCTCTAGAACCCAGGACCTGGGCAGTCCTGCTGCTGTTCCTTGCTCTAAAACACTATGTGACACAGTGTCCCAGAACACAGTTGTGTGACTGTATCCAGGACACACTGACCCAGGCAGCGAGGAGAGATTTGAGAGCTAAAGTGCTGATATAGTCATCCCGTAGCATCTGCGGGGGATCGTTTCCAGACCCCTGCCCACCACAGGAACCAAAATCCAGGAATGTTCAAGTTCCTCACATAAAATGGCGTAGTACTTGCATGTAACTTGTGCACACTTTTCTGAATACTTTCAATAATCTCTAGATTGCCTCTGACACCTAATACAATGCAAATGCTCCAGATAGAGTTGCTATTGTTTAGAGAATAATGACACAAAGGAGAAAAAATGTGTACATGGTCAGCACAGATGCAACCGTCACAGGTGTTATAGTCTGGATCTTAAATGTCTTGCAAAGGCCATGTATTGAAGGCTTGGTCCCCTGTGCCTGGCACTATGAAAGTGAAAGAAAGTAAGTTCATCGTGGGCATGCCCTTAAAGGGAATATTGGAACCCCAAACTTTCTGGTCTCTCTCTTTGCTTCCTGGCCACCATGAGGTGAACATGTCTCCGCTGCTACGTGTTCTACCATCATGTACCCAGAGCCAGCACAGGCCCATAGCAACAAGGCTAGGTGACCATGGACTGAAGCCTCTGAAACTGTGAACCAAAATAAACCTCTTTCCTTATTAAGCTGATTATCTCAAGTAATTTGTTAAAGTAATGCAAAGCTGACTAACACAACAGGCCTAGTACATGTTTGGCGACAATGAACCCATAGATATGGAGGGCCAACTGGGCACACATTCTCTGCCTTTCCAAACTCTTGCCACACACTACTAAAAACCAATCATACTATAAAACACAATCAAATATACTAATCTGCAGGACCTGGATTCAAGTCCAAAGACAAATCACCGAACAAATAAGGTCTACAATTCAAACGAAACTCTAAGCATTTTGTGGTTCTCTGATGCTTGTGTATCACAGTAGAATTTTTAAAAAAATATTTATTTTTTAGTTGTAGTTGGACACAACACTTCCATTTTACCTATTTTTATGTGGTGCCGAGGATCAAACCCAGGGCCTTGCACATGCTAGGCGAGCGCTCTATCACTGAGCCACAACCCCAGCACCCCCGACAGTAGAATTTTTTAAATTGGCAAATTTCCAGAGGCACTTACATGGCACAATGAAGGCTAAATCATATCTCATGTTTGATTTGTCATACAGGTTGCTGAATTCAAGCAAAATTA